CGAATGTAGCTAAATTTTGTTATACTGTCTGCAAAATTAGGCAGATTTTGACTGCCCATTGATGATCCCACCAATCTGTAAATATGTTCTGTTCACTTCATTTAATGTATTTTAATGTATTTCAACGCATTTTAATGTATTTGTAATTCTGGTCTGTGACCATAATAAAGATGGTCTTTAGATTCTTACTGAATGTTAAGGGGGGAAAAAAGGTTCTATTCATTCAATATATTCAAGTGGATGCCAGATAACTACCTGCCTTGGATGTTTTTATTTGAAATCCTGCACTGGGGAGGGGTTTGGCTCAATGGCCTTTTATGATTCTTGATTCATAAATGGTTGTGGGTCTAAGACACTATGAAAGAACAACTCCTGATTACTATATAGGGACATCTGCATGGAGGAGGATCAAAAAAGTCAAGGTGGAAGTGTGAGAGTGCAACTGAAGCCCTGCCCATCTTGATGTATATTCCATATGTGTTGCCTCCCTATTACTACATATTGATACCTGTACTACTTATAGTTTAAAACTGACCCCAAGATTTACATGGGAACAGAGAAAAACATTATCTGAGGCCTCAGTCAACATGCCACAGTTGATTGTCTTATACTCACTTTCTCAATACAAATTGTATCCTCAGGATAGTTACTATAACTACTACTACTACTACCATATCAAAGGGATATCTCTATTTTTAGATAATTTTTCCCCCACCAAGTGGGCATTTAATAATTAAGATAAATTCAAACCCCACTGGCAGGTCAAGCACTAATTCAGTTCCAAGGCCCTGAATGATTTATATTATGTCACTGGGGTGGATTTCTAAAGGCCACTGAATATTCTGGATCTCCAGAGATCTACCTAGGAGGAGGGATTCCACTACAGAACCCTCATCAGCCTCTCTGAAGCCTTCAAGACTGCTTTGTCCCTCAGAACTCCAGCACAAGCAATAGGGGGAAAATGTTGTGGACTATCTTGGAGCCCATTGGAACTATATCAAATCTGTTTTGAAATCAGAAGAAGAAAACAAATTTCTCAGTGATTTCAACATAAGGGAATATTCAGGGGGCACCTAAATCAATCAAACAAACAAGCAAATGTATATATTAAGGAGAAAATCCTGCAGAGAAAAGGTTTCTTCCTCACTTCTGTAGTTTTGTATCTCAAAATGTGGCAGTTGTTTGCCAAACTGACCTCCCCAATGCTACTATTAAGGAAACCTGAATAAACATTTTATTTTGATTTCTGTACTTCCTTTTTAGATAATGCTTTTGTGCCTATTATTTATGAGAATATTGTAATACTTTATATTGGGGAAATATTGCAGATTGAACAATAAAAAAGGGCAACCAACCCTGGGGGTGGCTAGCACGCTGAAGATGCTACCATATGTTAACATCTTACTGACCATCAACATCTTGGAAGATATTGTGTATGTGTTTGGTTTTTATTCCATTTTTATTGTATTTTATATTCTTTTATTGCATTTTAATATTTATTGCTGTTTTATCGTGAACCGCCCAGAGTCACTTTTTGTGAGATGGGAGGTACCTAAATTTGAAAAATAAATAAATGAATGAATAAACAAATATCTGTGTACCTATAAATTCCTTTGTATCCTTTAGATAACTAGTTTTAAGAGGAGCAAACACTGGACATACAGAAGTAACTATTCCCAATGAGTAAAGTCATAGATGTATCCAGCACTAACCTTACCACATATACTGTAAAGCAATCTTTCTGGATTATCACTATTTTGCAAGGAATGCATAGAAGAACTGAGAAAGTACTGAAGAAGAACTATGTGGATTAGAGTGCACAATATTGTAAAAAAGGATTGCGATTCATTTATGAAAAATCATTAGAGGAAATAAGGAATCCATATCAATTCCAGCATGTTGCAGCTTCAAAATAAATTGCTGATCATTTGATTATTGTGTTTAAAAATCTGAATCTGATCAACCTGTCTATATTATAACTTTATAGATTTTTTAAAAAGTAGATCAGCATGATTGAAACTGACAAACATTCTGACAGAGTGTATAAGCTAGACATGAATGGGATCTCTAAGATCTCTAAATTACCTTCTGCCTCAAGAGAATAAAACAAGTTTTTTTCTTCTTTGCATTAATATGCATTAAATGCTATTTTGGTATTAAAGTGTATTTTAATGCTATATAACAGTAGCTACATCTTTTAATACAATAATAATTACATCTTTTTCACTGAAAACATAGTACAGTAAATTTATACAGTATACCTCGCCAATGATGTCAGTTTGAGAACAAGCATCACAATATGGTTGAGATAGGCCAGAATTATGCTGAAGATCATGCAAAGATTCTGTAATGTAACAACTATTTCTGAATCCATCTGTCAGCTTGGCCAGACTCTTAAAAGAAAAGGAACATTAAGAAAAACAATTGTATAAAAAGAACCCTCTTGTGGTTTAATAATTATTTTTAAAATAGCAAAATAATATCATTCACAAATTTTTCCTTAAGTATGGAAATAATAGAAAACACAATCCTTACACAGAAGAAAGCTTAAAGAAATGTTAAATAGAATACAGACGTTTTAAAATAGCTCCTAAGACTATAAACATAAGAATAGCAATTGACAAAATTAAAATGAAGCAGTAAAAATAATATGCTAAACTATCTATGCAGATTGCTTCTATTTCTTAATCTGAGGCAACTCCCATCCAATAGGAATAGACAGATTAGTAGACAGAAGTTTTCTACAGATCACTTAAATAATTCTATAGCAGATTTAACTGTTGTAAAAGCAAAAGATATATTTTAAGAAAAAAAAAAACCTTTTCTTATTGCACCAACTTCAATGCTTCCATCTATATATATTTACAGATCTTTGGTTTTAATCAGATTATTCCTCCAAAACCAAACTGAAAAAAGATTAATTTATAACTTTTTAAAAACCTAGCTTCCTGATTTCTATCACTAAAGAATTTTTTTTTAGGAAACCCTTGGTGTGTAATTGAATTCATGTTGATTTGGATGGATTCTATTCCCCTTTGGATTTTTTAACATTACATTTTAACTGCATTTTTAAATGTTTTAAATGTTAACTATATTTTTGCTATTACTAAATGTCTAGAGCACCACTCACTAACGAAAATTAAAAATTATATTAATACCCATAACAAAACTTGAACAAAACAAATGAACTTCCATGCTGCACAGAATGCAACAGTACCAATGGAGAGGGGTGGAGGGGGAACAAACTTGTAGATGGAAGAGGAACAAGTCTTCTCAAATGTGTAAGTGTTTAAAATGAGGAAGACTTAGACTGTGGAGACTTGTGCTACAAGGTTTACAACTCCGTGGTTTATAGAAATTAGAAAGAAAAAAGAAACATTTTTTTTAATTACTCCTTATAGGTCTTGCACTTTCCTAAACTTGAGCATTCTAATGTTACAGGAACACCGACTGCCAGTTTATTTGTCCATTTAGCCAGGATTCTCCAGGTCTGAGACAGGTCATTCATATTGCAAAGAACTTGAATTTCTTAGCATAGCAAGGAAATTACTTGAACCAGCAGAGGAAACAAAAAAGTTCTGTTTCTCTCCACCTTCTCTCCTGAAAGCTTGTTAACATTCCTTTTCTATTACAGCTCCAAGAAACAGCTTAATGTAAATGTTATTTTTATTTTTTAAAATAAAATTACTGTCTTATATTTCCTTTGCTCATCTTAATCAACAAGAATATACAAAATATATGATTTATATATGTTATTTACATACAAATATTTTTATACAGGATTTTTGCCTTCCTTTTGCTTTTTTACACCAAGCAAGCAAAAAATAACAAATAAATTACTCATTTTACTAATATGCTTACTAGATTCCCAATACTGTATAAAGTTAAGTGGTATACTGCCTCTATAAAATATAAGTTTTTATACTTCAGTTTAGGATATCCATCTATTGTACCTCTGTTGTTAGTCCTTTGTGTACAGCATAGTGATATATTATTTCCAAAATAATATTACTGTATGTTAACGATGCAACTATAGACAATTACTAAGTTTGGAGATAATTTTAAACAAAAAATCTGAATTGCTTCTTTGAATTTAACTACAAAAACAACAGTATTTTTGCATCAATTACATCATTTTACATAATTTAAGATCTGAGTAACCCTTCTGTCCTAGTTTATACTTTTCAGCCAAGTAGCCTGAAATAACTTTCATTAAATTTTATAATAGGTAGGTTTTTAATTAGAATGAACATTGTCCATCTATTCCAAGACCATTATTAAAGTATTTCTTAAATCACAAGATAACTAATTTTTCTTTTTGGAAAAAAGGACATTTTAATATATTCATCATTCTAAGCCTTACATAACTATGAGTTTTTTGCTTTTATACTTTAAAACATCAATAAAAATTTTGTGGTCATGGCAAATAATTAATATGATTTAATACACTGCCCACTTCTAAATAATGATTAATCATGTTCATAAGCTGCAAGACCGTATGACAAACAGCACAGTAATGGATGATGGCTTAAGAATTGATGATGATGATGATGATGATGATGAATTCGATTTCTATAGCCACCCATCTCAACAAGTGACTCTGGGCGGCATACAATCATAAAAACAAAGAACAATTAAAACAATACAAATAAATATATATGGTCGCCAAGTAAAACTATTACCATAGATGTTAATATAGCCAAGAAACAGGACCCTTAACAAATCTGGGTCCCCAGGCCCAGGCACATAACTAGGTGCAACCAATTTAGCTAATTGTCTACACATACAGATACATATATGAGACTTTTTAACTTAAATAATAATTGGTCATTTTTAAAGTTAAGTTGTTTTCAGCATTTACCTTACCAAACCTTACAATTATCATGAGGTCAGTATTACCTTCAAGGAATGAGACACAGGAGTAAGAAAAATGTGCCTCTTTCAGCACCACTATGAAATTATAGTTGATCTGTAAATCAAGGCCATAAGCTCATAATAATTCCTTCATTTCAATCCACTTCTAGCATTAGATATGTGATGGATTACTTTTACCGCCCTTCTAGATGAGTTAAAGAAGAATCTGGATTGCAAAATATTTTTGCTTTTGCTATAGTCAGGATAGTCTAAGAGTTGTTAGCTATTCTAGGTATAAGGACAGAATTTGGGAACTTTACTATTATACCAAGATAAAGCCTGAATAAGAGTCAGTTTAAAAACAAACATAAAACTTTATTAAGAATTACAAGAATATGAAATAGACTACATATTTTTATGCTTCAACACCCTGTGAATCACTGAGTAACAAGATATAGTGATTCATGTTTCTTTTCTCTTGCTGGTTAAGAAAAAGGACATCCCCTTTACTCATAAGAGTTAGCAGGCACTATAAAACCATAAATAGTATTGTTTACTTACTTGCATTAAGTCTTGCCTTTCTCTCTCACCCACACATATGGCTTTCCTGATGCTTCGAAGTTCATTCATTATTGCTTGGGCTTCATCCAGCTTATAATTCATATGAGCATTTGACATCTTCCGATCAATCCTAATATACAAACATACACAAGAAAGTTTGCTCACTTTTGGTAATACTGAACCTCAAATAAACCTTGCAGTTTGATATTAAGAGCTTTTTTCCTTTTCCTGCTGGGTGGTCAGTGTTAAAAGCTTTTGCCACCTTGCCATTTACATTAAATTTGGTGAAGTACTGCCCTCCAATCCTTCTGTATTTCCCAATACAGAGGGAAAGAACAGGTGAGAAACAAAAGGATCAATGCTAACTACTATTCTGTACAATGGCCAGAGAATACAACGCACAGATGCCCTGGGAAGGAAGAGATGGTTCTATACAAATACTACTTCAGTAGTACTAGGAGGGTTATGTCTCAAGTAAAAATTAAACTATGGTTTCAAAAAAACCCTAATATCACTAAAATTGACAATAAGGTAATTATTTTATTACATTATAAACATTAAAACAAACAGCCCTGTCCTTTTACATTTCAACTTACTCTTGTAGTGTTTCTACTCCTTTCTCTTTGTACTGTAGTTCTTGCTTCATCTGTGTTAATTCTCTCTTTAATCTAGAAAGCTTGAGATAAAACCATAAAGAAATAATTGCACGGCAACCAAACAAATTATTGCAATTGAAATTTCAGGTGATGATGATATTTCAGTTTCATGAAATAGGGCTGTCGAGTCTGACATTATGGTATGAGCTTTCTGCCCTTGACTGCAATTAGCTAGCTAGACAGAAAAACCTAAGAGTATTATACTTCTTCAAATGTACAATGAAATTTGCAATTGGGTTTCAGTGTATATATGGGCACTGCCATGAAAACCAATGTTGCATTATGATATTCAGTCCGTGTTATATTTTTATGTCATACTATGTTAATAAATAATAAATTCTTTATTTCAGTCAAACATCAGCATAATATAACCTAAAACTATAAAATTTACAACCAGTAACTACAGCAATTTAGAGTATAAAATAACTAAAATATTAGCATTACTATCATAAAGGCTACACTTTCCTAAATTACTCACTTCATATTAAATTATAATTGCTTCTTAAAATGCCACCATAAATAAAAATCACATAGGCAATATAATGGCTTAATTATTTCCTGTATTTATTATATACTTTCTGAGAAAAAGTAGGACTCTAAATATTGATGTGAATATTACACCAGAGTGAGCAGCCCTCCTAGTAATGCAAAATATGAATTTAAATAATTACTTTTAATATACAGTATTTTAAAAAAAATGTTACTCACTCTATCACGTCGACTTGCTATTTCTGCTTTAATCAGAGATGGGTTGTATTTAGTGTTGGTTGAAAATCCAGAAAATGCTAAAGAAACAGAAAAGATCAGTGTTTAAGATAAACTCTAGAAAAAGTTCCTAACAAGCACAAGGAATGGATCTTTCATTCCATGTTTCACAGGAACCTTTTATTTTGCTACTGCTAAGGTGGCAGCACATAATCAATCTGTTCATCTAAAAATAGGATTTCAACTAAAAGCTAAGTTCACTGTTAATCAAGACACACAATGTTGTTATTTATTTTACAATCAAGAATTAGAAACTAGCATTTTATAACATAAACAGTAAGGAAAGGGGAAAATAACTTTAATTAATATGAGTTACGCAAAAACATGAAGAGTAGTGCTTGTAATAATGTCCACCAATGAAGACTTACATCAAACAAATTTTATAGTATATAATGTTAATTTTGTCAACATAAAAAATAGAAAAAAGTAGAAAAATCAATTCAAAATAGTGCATTTAAGTTTAAGATATAAACTTAATGAAAAATAATAAAAATAGTTTAATGAAAAAAATTAAACTATACTGGAAAATAAAGTTACATAACAATATACTTAAATAATATGGATAGCACAAAAAGAAAAAGAAAAATCCATTATTTTCCAATATTCCACTTTTCAATAAACAGGTTCAGAAGTAGAAAATGTTTGCTTTTATTTACTGGTCATTTTATATATACTATCATGTGACAGGATTTCCACAAAGTACTTTCGTTAAATTAATATAAAGGAGGAAAATCATCTTAGTGATATTTATCAAATAAACTGCCCTGAATGTTACTAAACCTAGCTTTATTCAAACTAAATATATCCAAATCCAATAACTCATTTCTGTATTTTACTTATCAAACAATCTAGGAAATCTTTACTGAAAGAATTTGATTTAAATAAGTATTATTATTCATTCAAATTGGACAAGGATAAATAAACTGCTCAAGCACAACAGTTCCTATGTAATTCATGGACAAACTGCTTCTATATCTGTCACAATTGATGGCTCACTTTTATATCTGGAAAAATCAAACTAGCATACACATCTATCTTCACAGCAGAAATTAAAGTAAGTAACATATAAAAGAATGAAAGCATGGTCATTGTCAGGCTCCCCTGAAAAGGTTCAAACATAAAAGAATCTTTCCAGAAACTCAAGGCGCTCCAAGGTGGTATTAGTCCTGTCAGCTCATCAAACTGTGGGTGATAGTCAAAGCTATGCAATACTCAAAACAGAGGATGCCAGAAGCAACCCATTAACTGCAGGCCCTGCTACTTCATTAAAGCAAAACTTTTCTCCTGACCCCAAGACTATCTCAGGGAAAAACAGTTCTCTAAAATTTCAAGGGCACAGAATGGAAGCCCAGGAAGGGTCATAAGGCACAAATTATTTTGGATTGTATGATAACTCATCAGCCTAGTTGGGATGTAAGAAATCCAAAAGTCAAAACAAGAAAAAAAATGTGCCCACCTAATTGGATGTAGAATAAACTTCTGTAGACATTTTATGTTCTTGTGATCTGTCCAAACGTCTACTGGATGTTATGTGCAATACAGTAACAATGCCATGTCTGAAACACATCCTTAATAGCTCAAAACTCCTTCTCAAAAATGTCAGTTTTATTTGGTGGGTGAGAGACAGGCAAGAATGAAATGTACAGGGAAGATGATTTCTGGAAACCAGAGCAGACTGAAATAGCATACTTTCCTTGGTGAAATCAGAAGCATCAGCCTGCATAATGAAGGAGCAGGATGACTCGGAATGGGATAGGAACTGGAGGCTTGTGTAAGTCAATCAAAGGTTTGTTAGGCTTTGAAATTCCATTGAAAGAGGATGCTGTTCTTAATAAATTGAACAAATGGGTGAAGACAGTATTGGAATAAATTTATGAAAAAAGTTGGCCAAAACTGCTGTATATACTTGGTAGTGTGGGGAGATACTCACAAGTTATAATAAATTGTTATTTGGATGTATAATGTATAACTGTGTACTCTCAAATGAGAAGCAATATTCCAAGTAAGTCAATGTAGGCAGATTAAAAGTAAATTCCTCTAACTCAAAATAAAGATTAAATTTGTGGAGATTCTGAAGAACTGATCTGAATGAAAAAGGGTCTTCAGAATTCATGAGTAGGTCAGTCAAACAGATAATCAAAAAACTTATTGAGGATTTCATAGAAAATAGGATTAGTAAATTTCTGAACAAGGTCAGTTTGACAATGAAAGATAATTGAATACAATTTGTATATTCAAATTTCTCATAACAGTGATCAAGTCCCCTGAGGCCTGAGTGAGAACTTGTTTTTTCCACAGCCATTCTAAGAGCTCTGAAATCAAGAAAAAACAACAGTTGCTCTATAATGTTTGGAGGGATTAAAAAAATCAAACATGAAGGGAGTCGTCCTTCTTTTTGACCAAAAGGTAGATGTGCTGACAAAAGAAAATGAGTAGATAAATCACTTCTGCAGATTCTCATACGCACGCACACATACACACACACAATTCTTTCAGGCTGCCCAACTCTGTCTCAAACACTTGATATAATGGAGCTGACTGTTATCCACACTTATCCAGGGATAAGTTTGTGCAATCATTATTTCAGTGGAGAGGGTAAGGTCCGATTCTTTCAACCCCACATCTACATACTTCAAATATTTGGATGACAAGGTTGGAGACCCTCCTCCTATGAAACCCTGATTGATGATGCCTGACTCCTTGTACACTACAAATCTTGCATGCAAAGGTAATGTCATTATGGCCCCAATGAATATATGGATTGTGAGCCTGAAGCCAGGTCATTCCCAGGACTCCTGAAAAGTTTGAAAGGCTAAACCTTGAGAACGTATTTGGTTTGGTTGTTGATATCAAGTTGCAATAGTTTGTTGAGCTCAGTAATTGGGCCCAAGCATATAAGCTGACCACCAATTGCTTCAAATAAGATAGGATGGTGAGCAAACTGAATATAAAGAGTACATTTGCATGCGGTGGATGCTATTACTATATAAAATTATCAGCTCCACAGGTCTGGGCACTACTTATTTTCTGGTTGTCTTAGGCTTAGAGACCTTGGTGACCGGGTCCATGTCATATCCTGGCATAGATCCTTATCAAACTGTGTAGGGCATTCGCTGGCATATTCCACCCCCACAACTTCAATATTTAAGTCAGCTTAGCTGGTTACCCTGCCTGAAGTGGTTGGACTCTCCACCGTGTAAGTATAGGTCCTATGTGTGATGGTACTATTTCTGGACAGAGTAGAATTCTACTGGCTCTGAAATGATTCATTCTCTAAAGTCTCCAGTGAGCAAAAAGAGGGGGACAAAGAAGGGAATAAGAGAGCAGTGGTGTCTTCCCATTCCATCTGTGCTCACCCATAATTCCTTAGGCATTGCATCAATGTGTAAACAGATCTGGATTAGTTTAATCGCTATGTGTCAAGAGATACCTTGTCACGCCAATTCATACTATATCTCATCAGATAGCTTAACAGATCAGTTCAGTGACATGCTAACTTCATTTCAGCCACATCCTGCACCAGCAACTGGAGTTCTGTAATATATTCTCACATTAAATGCTTATCCTATTGGAGACAGCAAATCTCATGACCAGCTCTTACTTGCCTGAAAGAATTCTGAAATTTATCTCTCAACATTAACATAGTTGTCTATGTCTGGCCTGGCCTGGATCAATAACGTGTTATCCACTTTGCAGCCCTCCACAGTATTGAGGTTTATTTTTAAAACAAAACAAAACAAAACATCCCAGTTCAGTCAGAAGGGAATGCTTTCGTTGAGATACAAGGTTTAGTCTGAGCTAAGGCAGCAGCAAGATGATATCTGGCAGTGAAGAAGGCGCTTGGTGCCAGAGAGCCATTGCAATGGTTGCTGCAGCTGCCCCATTTGTACTAATGACTCTGCCATGGGCAGAAATGTTTCATACAAAAAACCACTTTAGAAATCCAGCAGTTTTGTGGGTTAGGCAGCAGTTTTCTAAAGATGTGAGTCTGTCACATTTCTAACCCAGTTCTTATTTTTTAACTTTTTCTTTTCTACTTTTAAAAGTGCTATCTTGCCTGTTCATACAAACAACATAGAGTATTGCTATACAACACTGAAGTAGCAGCACAGTGTCTGAGAAACTGTGACTTATACTTGCTTCACAAGGTAATCCAGTATTGTTATGTCTCATGTTTCTTTTGTGTCCAACAGGTCCCTGGGTGAGATATCCTATTCTTAATGCAAGTCTTAGGGCTGAAACAGAATTGGATGGAGGCACCCTTTCAGAAATGGCTTTCTCGTGTACTGGAAACATTGTAGGAGGAAAGCCATCAAGATAATCAAAAATCAGAGGGAGTTTGCTATTATGGACTAGTTACATCTGATGAAGCGAACTGGAGTTCACAAAAGCATATGCTTTTTAATAAAATTGGTTAGTCTGGAAAGATGTGACCTCCAGGCTTTTTACATGTTATCTAGAGAGCAGAATGAAGTACAAAGACTAAATGCCATTGTGTAGTTAAAGGAAGCTAGGAAATGTATTTATTAATTTTTATCCCGACTCTCCCATCAAAATAGCAATTACCTGAAGCACCTTTTGACTAAACAAGAGCACTGTCTAACAAGAATTAAGCAACAATTTATTTTTCTTCACCCAGTCTAGAATATTAGACAGTTCTCACAGAACTGTTTTCACATTTATTGACAATACCACTCACTTCTCAAGAGATTAAGACACAGCCATCATAATGCCAATCTATAAAAAAGGACAAAAGAAAAATCCATCCAACTATCATTCAATCAGTCTTTTGAGTACGATCAGCAAAATCTATGCTAAACATTTATTCGAGAAGTTCTATGACTGGATTGTAGATAACACTATCCTAGCTGAAGAACTGGCAAGATTTAGGCCAGAAAGATCTACTCTAAACCAAGCAGTGATACAACAACACTAGGTAGAGAAATATACTTATAGATCTAAAGGCTCTCTTTCTGCAGCTTGTGTAAATCTTCAATCTGCATTTGATTCTACTTTCATGGGATATGAACCATGCCTATGAAATCTTGACCAGTTTGATCTGTAGCTCAAGGACAGAGCTTCTACTTTGCATTTAAAAGGTCCCAGGCTTAATCCCTTGTCTCCTGAATTAGGGTTAGGAATCCCAGGGTCTGCTTCCAATCAATTCAGATAATACCAAGCTAAATGGA